TTCTGCAGGGCCAGAATCGGAGTCTTCTCGTAGCAGACGCCTTCATTTGGATCTCCGAGCATTTCTGAGCCACGTGCTCCTGCAGCTTGACCACCACCGTGGGCACAAGCCTGGCAAGGATGGCACCAGGGGATGCCATGATCCTGTGGGCCTTTTGGGGCAGGGATCCTGAGGGGCAGACACATGGTTCCTGGATCTCCTGGGCACGCTGAGGGCTGGTGTTGGATCTCAGGGGTTTTGTTTGTGGAGCTGGAGGCAGAAGAGCCGTGTGGGGTTTCTGGGGGGTGAGGGGTAAGCCCTGCTCGTGCTGGAGTCTCTTTGAGTGCACGTGACAGTCCAGCTCCTCCCAGACTTCATTGCTTAGGAAAGGGCCCCTGCTCACGTTGAGGTTCACCCTGGGGTCTCTGTCCGGTGGGCACAGAGCAGGGGCCTTAGGGATCACCTTGGCCAGCGACTCAGTGCATAGGGTAGGTGCCCCCAGTTGGCTCTCCAAAAGCTTCTGTCGGATGTTGAAGTCTGAGCCATGGGCTGACGTCTGGTCCAGACCCGTGATCTGCTCTCGCCGGTCTCGTCTGCTGTGGACAGGAGGGCTGGGGAGAGGTTGGGCTTGGATGGGATGAGTGGATCCTTCCCAGCCCGCGACAGGCACGATCTCCCTTGTGCGGCAGAGGGGCTCTGACCGAGTCACGGAGGCTTCTCCCAGGGAAAAGGAGCTGTGACTCCAGAGGGAAGAGGGGTTGCATTCCATAGACAAATAGGAGAACTGGCTCACCGCAGATGTCGTCACACTCGGCCTGTGGGAGAGAGCAGACAAGGACCGATGGGACATGGCCCTGCTGAGCAAAGGCGGGGCTTGGGCACAGCCTTCCAACTGTACTGCAATGGGGCAGTGCCTAGGCATGCATGGCACACCACACTCTGACACAAGGACATCAACTGGCTAACAGCGGACTGAGAGGGGGAGCTGGCACTCATTTGATCTATAACGATAACCCCTTCGTCACACGCACAGGTGCAGCATGTTAGGATATAGATATTCAGGCCTGTCTGTAAAGGCCTAGACTTTAGGAATTTACGTGTATTGTGATCACTTAGCTAGTTCTAGAGGTGTAAAAGAGAGAATCAGAATCACTGTCTGTCTGTGTAAGGGCCTTGTCGTACTGGGACAGTCTGAGGCCCTGTTCTTAGGCTAAGTAAGGCCTTTGGCGAAGCAGCAGAGGCAGCCCTACGCTGAGAAGTGAACGGTCACATCCTCACATCCCAGACTAGTCCCATGGAAATAAGGTGCTATTGGCTGTTAGGAATCCAATCCTGTCCTGATATTCCTGTCACCTCCAGAGAAAGGAAAGAGCCTAGAAGGTGTGAAAGGAAACTTAGGTTAATAGTTTTCTGTCTGGTAAGAACTCACTTATCAATAGACACAGGTGGAAAACCCTTATGTCTGTATAGATGTAGTTGTGAAATTCTTACTTTTGTATTGTTTTGTATGTTTATTTGCATGGTTTCCAGGGCCGCCCAGAGGATTCAGGGGGCCAAGTGCCCTGAAGACTCGCGGCAGGGGGCCCCCGCCGCCGAAGTGCCGCCGAAGACCGGAGCGAAAGAAGCTCCGGGGGACCGGGCCCCGCGAGAGTTTTCCAGGGTCCCCGGAGCGAGTGAAGGACCCCGCTCCAGGGGCCCGAAAAACTTTCGTGGGGGCCCCTGCAGGGCCCGGGGCCTGGGGCAAATTGCCCCACTTGCCCTCCCCCCCCCCCCGGGCGGCCCTGATGGTTTCTGTCTGGTTCTGTAATTGTTTCTGTCTGCTGTATAATTAATTTTGCTGGGTGTAAACTAATTAAGGTGGTGGGATATAATTGGTTAGCTAATCATGTTACAATATGCTAGGATTGGTTAGGTAAATTTTAGTAGAATGATTGGTTAAGGTATAGCTAAGAGTATTACTCTATAAATTAGGGGCAAACAGGAAGTAAGTTGGGATTCGAAATTAAGAAAAAAGGAATTTAAATTTAAGCTTGCTGAAAGTTCACCTCAATAAACATCGAATTGTTTGCGCCTTTGGACTTCGGGTATTGTCGCTCTCTGCTCATGCGAGAAGGACCCGGGCAGTGTAAAAGTAAAGGAATAAGCTCTCTAACATAGCACCTAGCCCAATGGGGCCTTGAGCATGACTGGGGACCTAGTGCTATTTTAATAGAAAGATTAGCTACAAAAATTGGTCTGGGTGAGGAAGATGTGAGCGTGTGTGTGTAACCCTGGCCAGAACATGTTGTGAAGGCCAAGACCATAAACAGGGGTCAAAAAAGAACTTTACACCCGATTCCAGGCCAGGGACCCTCAACCCAGCAGTTCTGGGCTTTCCTCTCCCAGCCTTCCTTGCTACTTCGCTGGACTGCTTCCTGCCACTCCTGGCTCCGCTCCTTGCTCTGGGTGCACCAGCTCCAAACACGTTCTCCTCTGCCAAGGGAGGGGCTGCCCTTTCCCAGCAGCAGCCCCTGTCTGTTGCCAGCTTCCTGGCTTTATGGGCCCCGCCTATTCCTGCCCAGCTGAGCCTGCTTGCCATCAATTCCCTGCTCCTTGGCTCTTCCTCCAGGGGCACCCTGTGGAGTTAATGGGTCTGCCTGGCCACCTTAGCCCCTTCCAGTCCTGTGTGGGGTGGACACCCCGTCCCAGGGGGTCATCTGATTGCTGTTTCTTTCAAACACAGCAGGGAGCAGGGGCAGGTTCTAGACAGTCGCCTGCTGGGAGATATTGCCGGACAGAAGGATTTGATCCTACTCACAACCCAGCTTGTGGTCTCTGCATTTAATTTCCGATAATCCCTCACCTCACTGTCACTGCTATCTCACCTTGGAAGCTAAAGCCTCTTAGTGGCCTTTTCCCTGGCATTTTAGGATCCTGGAGTGTCTGGTTTTCTCTGCTCCCGCCTCTCTCCATTCACTATCCCCTCCCACCCAGCCCCCAGTCTGGTGCCCCCCGTGCAGTTGCCTTACGGTATCAGAACTTCATCCTGGTGTCTGGCCAGGTACTGAATATTCCTCTCAATGATCCTGAGGCGGTGAGCCCAGGGGAGCTGCTCCAGGTGCATGAGGCAGCTGTGGAACAGAGAGAGCAGGTAGCTGAGTGCTGGCCCTGCCCTCAGGCCCTCCTTTATCCAGAGGGGCGGCACTGAAAGGCTCCCTGTCCCATTCTCCACTGAGGCAGCCTCCTCCTCTGCAATACCCAGGCCTTGGATGTTCTGGTTTTGGGTTAGCTGGATTGTTAGGTGACCCCTGTCTAGTGCGGAGAAGGGGAGAGTGTATCCTGCTGGCAGCGTGTGTGTCATGTCCCTTCCGCAGAAGCTATCAACATATAGGATAACAGCCTACTACAGCTACCAACTAATGCAGCTCCCTCTTTAGTTCTAAGGGGTGCTTTCTGCTGCAGAGCTGAAGGTCCAGGGTTCCAATCCTACTGGGAACCCATGCTGCGGGGTGGAGGAGGGGCCATTACACAGGTGCTGCCGGATCCTTTTCACCCTACTCACCGTACCAGAAAAGCCAGCCTTCCTCCTGAACTCTCCACCTCACCTCCCTGGTGTGCACGGGGCCGCTCCCATAAAACATTTTCTCCCCCTCTTGGGAGGGGAGGATGGTCCAGTCCAGTCAACACAATCTATCGCCCCCCCGCCCACCGCAGGTTAAATGAGCCGCATAATGCTAGAGGAAGGAATGACCCACTGTACGACGCATGGGGGTGGATTAGAGATGGCAACTTCTGCTGGGTGGGGATGAATTGCATGATTCTAAGGAGAATAGTTGCTTGCCTGGTCTATAGGTCGGGGCAGGGGAGGGATTACTAGGGCTACTGCCCCTGGGGGGGATGAGCTGCATGACGCGAGAGGAGTGGACTGACCCACTGCAGATTTACGGAGGGGGGCATTGCTTACCATGTCTCTAGGGGTGCACAAGTCTCCTCCAACCCTTTCTCACAGCGTCCAAAACCTGCCAGAAGTGAGACATAAAGGAGACGTTGAGCTGCTTGGGCACCCTCTGCTTCCTAGTGCCCCAGAGCCCCAGATTGCAGGGGCCCCAGCCAGCGCCTCTGCACGACTGTGGGCATGACTGTGCCTTTGCAGGAAGAGCGGAGGCAGGAGGGGGAATAGACCCTATTTCTGTGCTTTGTGTGGGGCCCGAGTCTGCCACCGCAGCTGTGGGGTCAGGGGCTGCTTACCTTTCGGTTTCTTCCTTTTGTCCCTGTGCCTCGTCTTCCTCGGAGAAGCCTGCCACACACAGAGAAAGCAGCAGGGTTATAGGAGAACTCCAATAAAACGGGGATAACAATGAGCCAGAGGTGATTGCCATGTGGGGCCAGAGGGCAGTTTTTCCTTGTGGGAGAGTATTGCACTAGGAGGCATCATGGGTAGGCATTGTGCTTTCCTATGATGCAGCCAATATACGGCACACAGCACAGCCCATAACAGGGGTCACTGGGATAATCCAGGGGTTGGAGAAACAGGGATGGCTGGTACCAGGAGCCTGCAGAGTTTAGAAGCATTGCAGGAGAGAATAGAAGTGCTGTTGTTGGGTCTGGTTCTCTGCCCAGCCCAGCAGCAGTCATTGGGATATGGTGCCTTGTAGATCCCACCACACCTGCCAGCCCCAATAGGGCTGATGAAGGTCTGCCAACTTCAGGGTTCAAACACTTAGCTACATACCCACTGCAGGTCTTATTTCACCCTCTGGAGGCACAACAAAGGGTCCCTGGTTGACCGGGGACTGTTCTGACAGTCCTAAGAGTACCAAGCACCCTGAGTTCAGAGTGCATTGCTCTGCTCAGCTCTGGGTCCTTTCGGTAGGACAAGTATTCTCAACCCAGGCCCAGACTGAGTGTGCTTCTTTCTGGGAGCAAGGACTTCTCCCATGGCTCAAAATCTTCCTTTGAAGGAGCTTCTCACCCAGACCCAGCTGTCATCAGGGCTCATCCCTTTGGGGTGTGGAAGGTACTTTTCCTGCATTCCAAAGCACTTTAACCTCCCCTTCCGGGGCAGTGGGGAAGGGTGGGGCACCCTGTCATGAGCTGAAATAGGAGGGTCCAAAAGGATAAAAGGCCTGGAAAGACTCCTGTATCCAGAGAGAGATTGAAAAGCCTGGGACTATTTCAAGAGGGAACATGCTAGAGGTATCAAATCATTCATAGATTCATAGCAGTTAAGGCTAGAAGGGACCATTAGATCATCTAGTCTGACCTACTGTATAACACAGGCCAGAAAATTTCATCCTCTATTGAGTCCAATAACTTGTGTTTGACTAAATGAATGGTTTAGAGAAGGCACTCCAGATGTCTGGAGGGTAGCTAATGTAAAGGTGGTGGAGAAGAACCCAGATTAACTCACTTCCAAGCCTTCAATAGGATTTGGATTTGACAGGAATCCTTTGTCTCCCAGTTTGACCGCCCCTCCCCCCCCACCGCTCCCTCCTAGTGGAAAAATACCACCAGTCCAAAATGATGTCCAGTACCAGGTGACAGGATCACATGACCCTGCAGGGTCAAAGCAGCATCCCAGGAAACTTCTCAGGAAGGAGGAAGTTTAGTATCTTCAAAGTCCTACTGGCCCATCCAGGCTGATTGCCTACTGTTTGATGGGCATTCCCCTGGTGCAAGCACTTTTGTAATTGATTCAGAG